CCCAAGTGACAGGGTATAATAGGTTGTGCAGTGGAAAACACAGGCCCCAAACTCGGCACCTTCATAGATCAAACATTTATTTCTTGCTCATATTACATGTGCACTGCGGCTGGCAGAGGGGCTCTACTCCCACGGGCTCTCGCATCAACAGCCGGGCCCCTCCGTCACACTACACAGTCACAGGTGGACTCCGGGTTGAATGTGAAAGGCACAGCATTACAACTTGGGGCCACAGGGACCTGTCCTCAGAAGCATTTCTCAAGTGAGACAGAAGGCAAGTGCCACGCATAGACTGGGCGCTGCTACGTGTGAACTGAGGCTCAGCCATTCCATGCCTCAGCATAGGCCCAAACCTCAGGCCTGTAGGACTCTGTACACAGGCAAGTGCTCAAGACAGCATGGACCAAAATTACAGAAATAAGCAACAAAGAGACCCACTTTGGGCACTGTTAAGGGCTAACCTGTGTCCCCCCCAGCGTTCTGACGTTGCAGTCTTAACCCCCAGGACCTCAGAATGTGGAGATATGGTCTTTTAGAGAGGGGATTAACTAAAGTTAAACTAGGTCAACAGGGTGGGGCCCCATCCAACAAGCCTGGTATCCTCATAGGAAGAGACCAGAACAAAGACACACAGATGGAGGGATGATCACATGAGGACACACGAGGCGGCCGGCATGTGCACGTCGTGGAGTCCGGCCTCAGGAGAAACCAGCCTTCCCTGCACCTGGGTCCTGGGCTTCCATCCTCCAGAGCCCTGAGAAAGGAGTGCCTGTTGTTTGCGCCCCAGTCTGCAGTGCTACATCAGGACACCAACACAGGCCCACCCTCCAGTTCCCAAGGGCCGCACTAATGGGCATGGCACTGGACGGCTGCTTACACTGCTCAAAACCCAGTGCTCTGCCCTACTGGACGATTAACTCGTGTCCCAGAACTCAGGTGTGGCTCTGTGGCTTCCTCTGCCCACAGAAACGTAACCAGAGTGACGAGCATCACTGGGGTCTGCTGTGGCCTTCCCCCGCCACATACACACCCGACCTCTCCAAGTGTGGAGAAACATGTCCAGATGGAGCTGCTGCCGACACAAGTCCCCACGGGGCTGCAGTGGGGAAGGGTGTGCCAGCCCTCCGTGGTAGACGTGCAATGTGAGCGGGAAATGTGGTGCCAGCTCGGGAGCTGGGTTGGTGGAGGTCTTCATTAATACAGTGTGGTCTGGCCCATGTGGGCTGACACCACAGGGAGACAGCCCTGCTGGTCCCATCTGTGCTGCTAGACCTCAGGACTTCTCCAGTTCTGCAGTGACACACAGGAGGCAGGTATGAGGGCCTCAGAATGGTACTGGAGTCAATCACTAACTGCCCTGAGGGCAAACTATTTTCATGTCCCCAAGATATCAGGAGACACCAAGGACCTCAGCTCACATGTGGAGGTAGCAGGTGTGCCCAAGTTCCACTTCCTGCCAAGCTCCCCACCAACACACGGAGGCCCTGAGCCACCCACATACACACAGAGGCCCTGAGCCATGACCATCTGGCAAGAGCCCCTGTGCACATGGTAAGTGGGTATAGATCGGGTGCACCTGTAACTGCTATGTGGTCCAAATCCAGTATCTTATGCTCTCACTAGTAACAGGAGAAAGCCTACTTCATACCTTCCATAATTCTGAATTTAAAACTTTTAAAATCCTCGAGTCAAAGGTTAGGAAAAATCATACTTTCATTTTTTTTTTAATGCTGAAGTCTCTAATCCCCCTGGAATAAACATGGGTATAAACAGTAAGGTAGATACTGGGTTTTACTATTTTGCAGATTGCCAACCAGCTGTTTCAACTGCTGGAATTTAATAATCTGTTTTACATCCATTAATTTTTTTTTGTTTTTTTTTTTTGTCCAAGGTCGCTCTACCTGAATTACCCCATTAATTTGAAATGATATCTCTAGCATGTACTAAATCCCCATATTTATTTTTCTTTATTTCAAAGTTCTCTAATCTCATTTATCTGTCCACACATCTAAGTACCTTAATTATCATAGCTCTATAAAGTCTCCAGTTTTTCATATGTCCCTCTCCTCAGTACTTCCTGTTTTAAAATTTTCCTTGAAAATAGGTACTTTTGGCTCGGCGCCTATAGCTCAACGGGCTAAGGCGCCAGCCACGTACACCTAAGGGGGCGGGTTCGAATCCCCAGCCCGGACCCGCCAAAACAACATTACAGCTCACAGCAACCTCCAACTCCTGGGCTCAAGCGAGTCTCTTGCCTCCGCCTCCCAAGTAGCTGGGACCACAGGCGCCCGCCACAACGCCCGGCTATTTTCTGGTTGTAGCCGTCATTGTTGTTTTGGCGGGTCCGGGCTGGGGATTCGAACCCGCCGCCTTAGGTGTACGTGGCTGGCGCCTTAGCCCGTTGAGCTATAGGCGCCGAGCCGAAAATAGGTACTTTTAAAACATCATAGCATCCACTGTGTCCTATCTTCAGGAAATACAATCTCTGGGTATTTCCAAGGGAAGTGGGGGGCAGACACCATGATTAGAAGGCAGGCCCAGCACTTTGGCCCACCCCGAACGCATCCCACAAACCCTGACAGGTCCTGCAGCCCCTGGGTACCCTCCTCAGGGTCTGCCTGTGCACAGGGCCAGGAGTCATGACCAGCCCGAGGCCCCTCATGGCTCAGCATCTCCTATCCCAGGAGCCAGTCGTCACCTCTACCCAAAGGCAGGAACAGCAGCCACTGGTTGCAGAGCCGCTCTGCAAGGCCGTGCTGCTTGTTTGGAAGGCCAGGCTAGGGCACCCATCTGTCCTCCACCCCATCTGTAGAGGTGATCTGTTCTGGTGCTGCAAGGCCTCGCCTTCCTTTTCTTAGTGGTGAGAACCCAACTACAATAAACAGGGCCCATTTGACAAAAAAAAAACAAAAAAAAACAAAAAAACAGGTCACCTGGACTCTGTCCACCTAAGCAGACACTACATAGATGGCCCTCAGAGGCATGGAGCACCATACCCTACGTCCTGGGGCCCTGATGGGGCAGCAGTCAGAAGGGAAGTCAGCTGTCTGAAGCTGAAGGCATCCACTTCGGGTCCACTGAATGGCAGCAGGGAACCTTGACAGAGCGGCAGGAAGTGGTAAGGGTGGTGGGGCGACTGGGCTGTATACCCAGAGAGTGGCTCTGGGTCCTACACCAGACTCACAGGCAGGGCAGGGCACAGCTGGGTGAAGGCAGGTGTAGAGTGCAGGAGGGCTGGGACCTAAATAGTGGCACAGAGGGGCAGCTGTGTGATCAGGTACAGAGCAGCACAGCGGTGAGCCAGACATCCAGGGATTTCATACACCTGGCCAGAGTCCAGCCTGCACACTGGTTCCTTCCACCAGCTTGCTCTCTCCATCGGGGCCTATCAGCATCCTAAAAACAGCTTCCCACCTAGTTCTAAGATTTCCAGCTGTTTCATTTATAAAATATCTGTGCCTTGAAATAACACATATAATACCATTTTAACCTAGAGCCTTTTTACTGACAGTTACCAAATAAAATAATCCCAACATTCTACATTTTTCTGAAAAAGTTTTACCACATATTTGCTTATTACTGTTTTTCCTAATAACTGGCTAGAAAGTTTTCTGCTTTTATTTTCCTACTTTTCAGGAAGGTGTTGTTTTCACAATTGTGAAAACGAAAAGGGCTGAAGTTCTTGCCTAAGCGCCATCTGAGTAGGTCAACAGTGGGGAGCTGCACCCGCTCACCCTGTGAGGAACATGGCTCCAGGGAGCCTCCATGCTCAGCTTCCACTAGGAAACCCACCTTGTGTAGAATAGTCTTTGTTCATTCCCTGGGCCTGGGGCCTCACAGCTCTGCACTGCGGCCTGGTCCACACTTGACCAAAAGCTCTTGGAGGTCAGTTCTCCAGGCCACCCTCATCTCTTCAGCCTCAACTCCAATCAGAGCCTGTAACCTCAAAACTGCCACCAGAAACTACCACAGCCATGACACTGACCAGCAGCCACCACACCACAGGCTCAGCCACTCACGTTTGGTGAGCACCAATTATGTGCCAGGGCTACAGAGCTACAACAGAGCCCCTGCCCTAGAGCCTCAGTCTGCCAGGAGATACAAGTTATTCACGAGTCATGGGTTTGAGTGCTGCATCAGCAATGCCCAAGAATACATAGGGGATAGCACAGCAGCAGGGGAAAGGTGCCAACTTCTGAATAAAACCATGTGACACTAGAATGTTGACATACAGGAGGGGAGGACTTAAGCCTGCAAGGGGCTTGCAACCCATCTTCCTGTATCCAAATCTCCCAGCTGGCCAGGCTGCTGATAAACACACAGGGAAGCATCAATCTCTGCCAAGACACCATCTGACTTGTAAGAGAAAGATTAAAGTGGCCGCTTCCTTCATGCAGCCTTCCTTACATTCCAGGGGGAGGACAGAAGCCAGGGAGCAGAGATGTTGGGGGTGGGAACCAGAAGCAAAGACCCCATGCAGGAACCACACCCAAACACAGCTGGCATGGCAAGCCCAGTCCAGTCTTGGCCACTTTGGAAAACACCAAGGTATTTCATGGGGAAGGGGGTGACAAAGATGCAAAATCTAATGAGAGCTGATCTGCAGAAAAACCCACCTAGTGGAAGCTGGAAACTCACCCAGGTAGATGGCAAACCCAGGGAGCAGGGGACATGGGTGAGGACCCCACAGGAGCAGGAAGCCAAGGTTCTGCTGGGGCAGGGGGGCTCTTTGTGCTCAGGGCAGGACCAACACAAGTATAGCTCCTTGTCCAGCTATGGGGCCATCCAAAGTCATCTGGGGACACCACCCTGTTCTCACTAGGGCCTGTGGGGCTCTCTGCCTACACAGGCCACTTCATCATGAGGTGCACAGCCTGGGCCTTGTTCAGAACCCAGGGGTGCCAAGCAGGGAACAGGAGATGATGGTGGCTCTTCTGGGACTGCTGCGGTATCCACCACCTCCCAGGAGGTACCTGAGAACTCCTCCTGGGCTGCCTGCCTCAGAAGCCTTCTTCTGTTTTCTGGGGGTTTGGACCCCCTGGGAAAGTGGGGTGTGGTCTCTGGGTGGGGGATTTAGCAGATCCTGAAAGGGTAGGGACAGGTATGGTCTTCTGGCTGGGAGCAGACTGGTCCTAGAGGCCCAGGTCTGAGCCACATGAGGAACTGGGCAGGATGGGGCTGCACAGACCCAGGTCTGAGCCACATGCAGAGCTGGGCAGAATGGGCCCCACAGGCCCAGCGACTCTTCTTGCCATGCTACTGCTCAGGCACTGCACTTCTGAATGTAGAGCTGGACTGAGAAACCGAGAGGGTGGCCAGAGCAGCTGGACAGGCCTGGGGGGGACCTATGCTGAGTGCCAGGCTAGGTACTGCCTCACCACAGGCTGCTGTGGGGCCACTGGCAGCTGGCTTGAGGCCAGGACAGGGAACAGGGCATAGCACATGGTATTCAGCAAAACTGTCCAGGCCTCAAGATCCTCCAGGAGGAGCTCATGATCATCAGACAGGGACAGCTCCCCGTCGAGGGAGGGGCTGCCCACACCAAGAATCACCAGTCAGGTGTCCAAGGATCTCAGACAAGGCTGAGACTGTCCTAGCAGTGCTCGAAGTGAAAGGACATGTAATCACCCAGTTGGGCCAAAAAGCGGTTCAGCAGCCAAGGAGGTAGTCAGAGGTGCCCGGTCTGAACCTAGCACCCAGTGGAAGTCCATCCTGAGGGGCCAGAGCCAAGCCTGCCCCCACCCTAGGGACCCTGTACTACGGGCCTACCACTGGAAGTGCCACCAGCTATGCTCTTCTACTCCATGGTTGTACACCGGCATACAAGTTCCCCACAGCAGGGCTGCTCAACCCAGGGATCCAGGGGGCTACATGCCACCTGAGGAGAGAGAGGCCTGGTCCATCTGCTACCAAGGGTGTGCACTGGCATAACTGGCCGCCACCTGGATGAGACTGCCAGGGCCCTGCCCACTGTGCTGGCCATGGGGGCATGTTGGGAGCAGAGAGGAGGAAGGGGCAAGCCAGTGCAAGGTATGGGGAGATGGAGATGGCAGCAGCTTGCATGACACAACAGAACAGAGATGGCTAAACGGGGCGTGGCAGAGTGCACAGGTCCAGACAAGTGCTGAGGATGGGGAGCTTACAGTTGCAGCCTCAGGAAAGCTGGGAAGAGCTGGGGGACTGTCAGACACAGGCCATCATCTGAGGCAATCTGTCCAAAGACAAGGTGGGGAAGAGCAGGAACCAAACCACCCATCACCACCAGCTGGCAGGAGACGGCAAGCAGGAACCCCCAAGAACCCAACCAGGAGCTCTGGATGGAATAGGCAGCCCATGCACTAGCCTGAAGTTCCAAGGAGGCATGTGAATGCTGCCTATGACATTCCAAGGGTACGTGTAGAACAGATGCTGTCAATCCCAGGAGAAGGGTGGGAACTTTCAGAGAATTTCAGGACAACAGCAGCAACTTTCACTGAGTGCTACATTTGCGGCAAACACCAACCACACACGCCCCTTGCCAAGGCACAGAGCAGTGAAGTAACTTGTCTGCGGCCACAAGCCCCCCCCCCCCAGGCAATGGTGGCAACAGGGGAAGCTAGATTTAGAGACCACAGGCTTGACCACCACACACCACGCAAAGTATCAATCCCACTTTGGTCAGCTGAGTGGACTCCTGGCCACCCTGAACACTGCCAAGTATGCAGACTGGGTCATCCTAAGGGTAAGATCCCAGCGCCAGGCCTGTGGTGGGTGCTACCTGCATGCTCCTCAGAAGCAGGGAGCTCCCCCATGCCCCTCTGCCCAGGCTTTCTAAATGCCCTTCTCAAATTCAGAGCTACCTGCAGACAAGGCCACCCCCACCCAAAAACCACCTCCCCAGTCCAGAAGCCTACCTCCCAAATGTGGCACCCCACTTGCTGTATCTGCTCCCACCACTCCAGGCACCTGTGCAAAAGGCCTGGAGCATCCCCCTCTGATGTCTGAACCTGTGCCTGCTTCTCCATTCAGTGGTCACCAAGGGGGCTCCACAATCAGCAGCTACAGGCCTCTTTCAGTGCCAGGACCCTCTTCTGAGGGCTCTTACACTCTGCTGAGCCTGACTACAGCCTCTCCTCATTTTCTCTGCCAAAAGCTGCTTCTTCATAACTTCTACAAACCTCTGCTTCACCTCTCCACACACTGTCAATTCTCAGGAGCACCTAGCACCCCCTGAGTGAGCTCCTGCAGGGAGGTATGGCTATGTTAGTCTTTCCCCCAGTACCTTCTAGTGCGGCCTGGAACACTCCAAGTTGCCAGGGCCACTGGCACCTACCTCTGCACCCCAAGCATTCTGGAACCTCCCAGGTCTGTCCCCAACCAACTCACAAGAAATGAATACACCATGGCCTGCTGGCAGCAGTGCCCTACGGGCCAGCACGTAAGTGGAATCCAGTCCAGTCTCTCACTGGACTCTAGAAAGGCAGTGACCATGACCCAGGCTCCAGTTCCCATGACCAGCCCCAGATCAAGTACCAGGCTGTTCACAAAGACCACGTCTTATGCCTAAAAGCCAATGTACTACCCAGACCCCTGCCCTCCCCACTTCCCAGTCTGTACCTTCCATCCCCACCAGCCAGCCTACTGGCCTAAGCCTTACTAGACCAAGTGGCACTAGAATTTTGACTCTCCATGGCACTCTACCCAGGGACTCAGATTGAGGCTCTGTCTCAAAAAAAAAAAAAAAAAAAAAGAATTTTGACTCTCCACAGCTATCAGTCTGTTGGTCTCCTTAACTTCTTTTCCCACCCCACCTGGCACGGGGGAATTTGGGCCATCCTCCTGGACTGGACAGCGTTCTGCTAAAGGAATACATACCATGGCGCATACGTATTTGCCTCCACAGAGCCCAAAGCAGTGCCTGGATGCAGGAGCGTCCTTAGTTGGAGGACACCTAGGGGCCCCCAAAACAGAAGAACTTGCCCAAAGCCTCCAAGCAAGTTGAGGTCAGACGACTGCACCGCCCGCTGCCGGCTCGGCAACTGCCATGCAGGAAACACAATCCCACCAGTGACAGGGCAGTGAGAAGCCCACCTACCTGCGGCTACAGGCGGCGCCCGCGGAGCGTCCAGGGATGTCCAGGGATCCCTAGGGAGAGACCGGGTGGACGGTCCTCCCTCCGAAGGCGAGAGTCCAAGCACCACCTAGAAAGTGGAAAAATGAGATCGGTCCCCTGAGGCAAGACCAGGCGCGAGCGCGACCTCCCGAGACCGCGGGAACGACCCGAAAGTTTCCAGGCGCCCCCCCACCCCGACCTCTAGCGCGGACTGAGAAACCCAGGCCGGGGATCAGGAAAGGACGGAAAGGCGCAGCCCCAGGCCTGCACATGCGGGGCTCCCCGCCGGTCTCCACAGCTCCAGCAGCCCCACTGACCCAAGTCTGGGACGCCTCCTCGGAGCAACGCAGAGTCCAGGTCCAGACTACGCCGCGCAGCCACGCCCACAGCGTGCGCGCGGTCGCCCCGTACGTCCCCGCGCAGGATCCGGGCACGCCAGGCGCCGGCGCCAGCCGTCCGACCGGACCAGGTGCGCGCGCGCTTCATCTGCTGCGCCTGCGCCGTGTGCTGGGGCCGCGGCCGCGCAGGCGCCTTCAGACGCCGGCGGCGCGGCGGCGCGGCGGGAGCGCGCTCTCAGCGAACGGGCGGATCCGCGTGCGCAGGCGCGGGCGAGAGTCTCCTTTAGTGAACTCTGGGTGGACTGTGTTTGGCTGCTGGTGGGACCTGGTACACGTGGACCCGGCTTCTGCAGAAACAGAGGGACCAATGTCGCGTCAGCACGCTGTTACTGCCCCGGAGTAGCTGCACAACGAGGCTTGGTGGCGTCCGGGAGGGTTTGGGCACAGGGGCTGCTGTGCTCGGGGCCCCGCGAGCGCCCTGCAGTGGGCACCGGGGCTTGAAGCCGAATTAGGGGCTGGTACCTAGAACAGACGCGCCCGCCGGGCAGGCCGGCCGCAAGGCCCCCAACCTGCGTGCCTGGGGGCTGCAGGGCGTCCTCGTCGCGGGGGCTGGCTGCCGCCCTGCCCAGGCCGTGGCTGGACCCAAAGAGGACAATCAGGGCGGGCGGCCAAGGCTGGGAGATGAGGGGGCGCGCTCCTCACGTGCAGGTGCACGGCTCGTTCTGCCGCCTCCCGGCCGTCGCGGCGACTGCCCCCCCTAGCCAGGCCCTGGTACCGGCGGGCAAGGGACCTGCGTGCAGGCCGGGAGTCCCGGGGGTCAAGGGAGGCAGGCTTGCTGCAAAAGTTCTCAAAGCGAACACACACCTCCCTTCTGCCCTGGTCTACTGACTCCTTTCATGAAAGATCTCTGAAATGTCATCTGCATTTACACCCAAACTCGCTGGCTTTGATCCTTGAAACACGAATCAAAGATCACATTGTACCTTCCCTGGGTCTGTGGGGCTTTTCAGCGCCTGGCCAAAAATAATAAAAGTGGCACCCAGCCAGGAAACGCCTCCTTGAAGTGGAATGAAACTTGGATTCTTCGGTTGTATCTTTCCTAATTGACCTGATAATTTAAACTTCCTCCCTCAAGGGAGAGGGGGAGTTCCTACAAATTCAGCTTACCTCAGGCTCCAGGCAGCTCAGCCCAGCTCAGAGCCGGGCCCAGACAGTGGGCAGCAGACTTGAGCAGACTAACCCAATGGGCCTGAAAGGGCCCTTTTTGATCCCAATTGCTTTGTTTCATTCCGACCATCTAATGTATATAACAATCATGTTCACACAACGTTTTGGTCGAAGAGGGGCGACAGTCAAAACAGTGGACATCTAGTAAACTAAGATTAATTTATTATTGAAAGAAAAATATATTTTATAAATTTAGTGTAGCTTAAGTGCACAGCATTTATAAAGTTGGCAGTAGCGTGTGGTAACGTCGTAGGCCTTTATGCTCACTAATCACTCCCCTCTTAGCCAGAACAACTTACAGTCCTGCAAGCTCTGTTTGTGGCATGTGCCCTATACAGGTGTACCCTTTTATGTCTTTGTATTTTTGCTATGTGTAGCTATGTTTAGATGCACAAATACTTGCTATAGTGTCACACTGCCTACAATATTTATTTATTTTTTTTAGACAGAGTCTATGTTACCCTGGCATCACAGCTCACAGCAACCTCAAACTCTTGGGCTTAAGTGATTCTCTTGCCTCAGCCTCCCAAGAAGCTGGGACTACAGGTGTCTGCCACAACGCCCGGCTATTTTTTGTTGCAGTTGTCATTGTTGCTTAGCTGGCCCGGACTGGGTTGAACTTGCCAGCCTTGGTGTGTGTGGCTGGCACCGTAACCACTGTGCTATGGGGGCCAAGCCTGCCTATGGTATTTAGTACAGTGACAAGCTGTACAGATGTGTGGCCTAGAAGCAAGAGGCTATATAGCTGTGTAGCAGGCTCTACCATCCAGGTTTGTGTAAACCACACTCTATGACATTTGCACAATGACAAAATTGCTTAACTATGCACACATTTCTCAGACTATCCCCATCACTGAGCAATGCATGATTGCATTTTTTATTGTGACAAAATATGTATAACATAAAATTCACCCTTTTAGCCATTTTGGAGTGTACAATTCCGAAGCATTAAACATAGTCATATTGTTATATAACCATCACCACTATTTCCAGGAACTTTCAGCACCCCAGAAATTCTGTACCCAGTAAACAATAAGTAACTCCTCATCCCCTCCCACCCCCAGCCCCTGGCAACCTCCATTCCACTTTGTCTATGAAATTGGCTCCTCTGGGTACTGTGCATAGCAGGATCAAACAGTATTGGCTATTTTGTGACTGGTTTGTTTCATTTTGCATAATGTCCTCAAGGCTTATCCACACTGCAGTGTGTCAGAATTTCCTTCCTTTCTGAGGCTGAATAATATTCCACTGTATGGATATGCCACATCTTGTTTATCCATTCTTCTGTCCATGGACATTTGGTTATTACAGCTTTTGGCTACTATGAACATTAGTGTACAAGTATATGTTTGTGTCCCTGCTTTCAATTCTTTTGGGTATATACATGGGCTGTCCTGAAAGCATCCAGCCATGTAGTAATGAAAAATAGCCCTCGTGTACCCAAAGAGTGAAATTGCTGAATCATACATAATCTCCCCTTCAGGTCTCTGAGAAATCTCATTTTCTGTAGCAGCTGCACCGACAGTGCACAGGGATTCCAATTTCTCCACATACTCACCAACACTTGGTTATTTTCTATTTTGCTATGTCTTTTTTTATATATATAATAGCCATCCACCTGGGTGTGAAATAGTATCTCACTGTGGTTTTGATTTGTATCTCCTGCTTACTGGGCATTTGTCTGTCTTCAATGGAGAAATGGCTATGTAAGTCCTGGGCCCATTTTTAATTCAGTGGTAGTTGTTGTTGTTGAATTGTAAGATTTTCCTTGATATTCTGGGCATTAAAATCCCTTACCAGATGTGACTTGCAAGTTTTTCTCCCATTCCACGAGATGCCTTTTAACGCTCTTGATAGTGTCCTTTGATACACAGTTTTTGTGTGTGTGTGTGTGTGTTTTAGATACACAGAAGTTTTTTATTTTCAAGAAGTCCATTTTGTCTATTATGGTTTCTGCTGCCTGTTCTTTTGCTGTTTACATCCAAATTATTGCCAATTCCACGTTATGAATCTTTTTCCTTCCCTTTTTTTGAGACAGAGTCTCACTATGTCACCATGGGCAGAGTGCTGTGGCATCATAGCTCACAGCAACCTCAAACTCTTGGGCTTAAGCCATTCTCTTGCCTCAGCCTCCCAAGTAGCTGGGACTACAGGCGCTTGCCACAACACCTGGCTATTTTTTTGTTGTTGCTGTTGGAGTTGTCATTGTTGTTTAGCTGGCCTGGGCCAGGTTCAAACCCACCACCCTCAGTGCATGTGGCTGGTGCCATAACCACTGTGCTACAGGCACTGAGCCTAAAGCAGGCATTCTTATCTTGTCCCAGTTCTTAGAGGAAAAGCTCTCATTCTCTCACCATCGAGTATGATGGTGGCTGTGGGTTTTTCATGTGTGGGCTTTACCGTATTAAGGAAATGTCCTTCCACATCAGGTTTATTGTGGAACCCTTCAACATCTTGAAAAGGTGTTGAATTTTGTCACATGCTTTTTCTGTGCCATTTAAGATGATCATTTGTGTCCCCCCTTCTTTCTATTAATGTGTACTTTGATTTCAATGTATATTTTTGTTTTTTTTAATTTTTTTTTAAGAGACAGGGTCTCACTCTGTCACCCAGGCAGGAGCACAGTGGTGGTGTAATTATACCTTATTATGGCATAATTACAAGTGGTGTAATTATACCTTACTATAATCTGGAACTCCTGGGTTCAAGCAACACTCCCACCTCAGCCTCCAAAGTAACTGGGACTATAGTATGTGCTCTGTGCTTAGCTTTTTTTTTTTTTTTTTTTTGTAGAGATGGGGGGTGGTCTCACTATGTTGCCCAGGCTGGTCTTGAATTCCTGGTCTAAAGTGATCCTCTCGCCTCAGCCTCCCAAAGTGCTGAGATTACAGCTGTGACCCACCACACCTGGCTTCAATGTACATTTTATTTATCTTAAGCCCAAGATGTTTGGGCTTGTTTGTTTTTTTGAGATAGTGTCTCACTAGGTTACCCTTGGTAGAGTGCCTGCCATGGCATCATAGCTCACAACCTCAAACTCTTGGGCTTAAGCAATTCTCTTGCCTCAGCCTCCCAAGTAGCAGGGATTTCAGGTGCCCGCTACAACACCCAGCTATTTTTGTTGTTGTTGTCGTTGTTTAGCAGGCCCAGGCCAGGTTCAAACCCCACAGCCCTGGTGTATGTGGCTGGTGCCCTAACCACTGAGCTATAGGCGCCGGGCCTCAATGTACATTTTAAAAAATGACTAACTTCTCTGTGGGCTGGGTCCTTAACAAGGCCCAGTACTGTGTTTTTACCTAAACAGTGGGACAGTCTCACTTTGCTGAGACCTCTTCCAGTGCCAGTACACAATGACAAAGTTCTTATCAGATGATAAAGCGGAATCAGCCCATTTCACAGCTAGGGAAGCTGAGTCTTGCCCAAGGAATGGTAAATTTGTGTGGGGTGCTGGATGCAAGTATCTGAGCTGCGATGTTGAGTGGCAGCAGTCACACAGAGGACTCTGGCTCAGGTATTTAGGGTTCATTTAGAGCCAGGAACAGCAAGAGGCAGGGACACACAGCCCAGGGCGATGATGCCTACTACCTGAGAACAGTCAGCCTCTGGAACCTGTCTGTGCCCCTGCGCCTGACCTTCCTGAGAGCCCTTTCCTGGAGCCAACTGGTGGGCATCTGAGCCCAGAACCAGCCTGGCAGGGTCTCTCTGTTCAGCCACACCTTGTCACCCCACAAGAAATTTTCCTTAAGATGTGGGGCTTAATCCTTCAGTGCCTTCTGAGAGGTTCCAATGTT